CGTCCCCGCGGGAGCCGCCGCCGCCGCCGAGGGCGGTTGCTGGGGCTCCTCCGGACCCGCCTTGGCCGCCTCTCCCCCTTCCTGGTCCTGCTGCTCCGGGGGGCTCGGCTCTTCCGTCTCCCCCGGCATCAGGGCTCGCCCGTCCCCCACCCCTCGTCCCGGGCGGCGGAGGCGGAGGCGGCGGCCGCCGCGGCGCTGTACCCCCCGCCCCCTCGCCTCCCGGAGCGTCCGGCTCACTCTCACCCGGAGCGCCTCTCCCCCCTCCCCTCCGCCCGCGCCGAGGGCGCCCCCCCGCCCCCTGCCACTCAAGGCCCGCGACCGCCGGCGGAGCGCGCGCGCGCCCGCCGCAGACACTCGGCGGGCCAATGGGAGAGGAGGAGCGGTCCCCTGGCCCCGCCTCTCACGGCCTCACACGCAGCGACGTGCTAGGGTCCTCCCCACCCCCTCCTTCGGCCAATCAGGAAACGGCTCCGAGGGAGCGCGCGAGGTTTCCTTCCCCGCGCACCCGTTCTCACCGTTAAACGGCTGCGTCTCGCGACAATCCCAAAGTGACCTTTTCCCCCTCCTCCGGAGTTAGACGCGCGCTAGGGGCAGTGGGAGGGGCAGGAGTGGCGAGGGAGGGGGTGGGAAGGAAACGCACCTCTTTCCCCGCCTTGTGCGCGCCCTGGGCCGGATGCGCGCGCACCTGCCTCCCTGAGGAGCCGCTATTACCATAGGGGCGCTTTCTACGCTTCCTTAGGCCGCAGAAGTAGCCTGAGTGTTCCTCAGCCTCCAACCCGACCCCACTTTCCTGTCTCTGGCCTTTATGTCCCCAGCGCCGCCAGGATATGCGGGGAGAAGGGGGAAAATTTTTGGAGCTGTCGCTTCTCCTTTAAGAAAAAAAGCTCCGTGGGCTGCCGGAGGAAAGTCTCTGAAAAAATGGCGGCGGAGGAACGGAGGCGGGGTTGTGGGGGCCGCGGAGGCCCGCCTTTTTGCGCATGCGCACCGGCAGCCCAGCCAAGAGCATCCTGGGAGGTGAAGTCTTATTTATTGACCAAAAGCTGGGGCGGAGAGGACGCTGGGGGCTTGCGGCCACTTTCTCCACGGGAAACGTAGTTCACCTCTGCCGTCGGGAGGGTGGAAAACACTTTCCAGGGAGGCGGTGTTTCCGGGTTAGGCCGCGACGCTGCGCACGTCGGTCACGAGCGTTGAGCCAATGACTGGCTTGGATGGCCTGGAGAAGGTCCTGCGATGTGTTTGTAGTTTTTACTTGGCGTCGTTGCAGCGTTCCCGGGGTGGCCACATCGTGGTCCTCGTTGACCTTGGTAGTGATGGGTGACACCCCCTCTGCCACCGAGCGGCTCGTTCTTCGCCTTGTCACCCTGTGTGGGGCCCTCTCCCCGGGGCCGGGAGCTCAGGACTGAGTCAGCTTCCGTGCGGTGCCCGGGGCCGAGCACTGTGCCCACCCCCGAGGGGCCGAGCTGACCCCGCTTTCCGCTGGGTGCCGGGCAGCGGCAGCCGGCTGCGGTCCCCGAGCCCTGGGCGGGCGGCGAAGGGTGTTAGCGTGACTGTGTGACCGCCAGCGAAAAGCCGAAAATCGCTCCGGTGCTCCCCGCCCCGACTCAGCTGCGGTTCACACGTTTCTGCAGCGCAGGAAGCGCGGTCTGGAGAGCAGCGTTGTTCCAATCACTTTTCTGCCCACCAGCGTGTGCAGCTAAGTCGTGTGGCTGATGTGTCAAAGGGAGTTTCCATCTGCTAGTCTCTTTCCACCGGGCCGTTCTCTGGGCCTTTCCCCTTCCTTTCTTTCCTCCCTTATAATCAGATGATGTGAAAATAATGGTCTCTACATCGACAGAACAGACCGTCTGGAATGAAAACCTCCAGAAGAAAGAGAATGGAAATAAGATCTGGAGGTCCAATTCTAAATTTCACATTAATCATTAAACTGTGAACAAGTGCTGAAGTAACATTTTTCTTCCCAATATTTTGACTCAATTACCACTTCAGATTAGGCAAATGTTTTATATTCTGTGCTGCGTTTTGCACTTTCATAGGGCTAATGTCATTTTTAGTTGCAAAAATTGGCACGGTATACAGGGGAATTTTCCCAAACTTTGCAATGAGCAAACTTTTGGAACAGCGCTGACATCCAATGGCTGCTTAAAGTAATGCAAAGGAGGAATCTCAAAAAAAAAAAAAAAAAAAAAAAAAGGCTTAGGAGACTTAATAGAATGGAAAAAGGAAAAACTCAAAGAAAAAGAAGCACCAATGCATCGTAAAGCCCACAGGCTTTCACAAGCAATTAAAGCATGGATTATAGTGGTAGCAAAGCTGCCTATTCTGTTATTTTAGCAAATTACTCCTTCAGCCTATTTCACCACTGCTAAAAACAGATAAAATATATTTTGTGGGCAGTTTTTTACATGCTGTCTGCTCATACAGGCTTTTTGTAAATGCTTTGTTTCATTTAAAATGAATAAACTTGCAGTGGTGAACTAGGTGAATTAACCTCAGTGTCAGTTTTTACAGAAACTGCTACAAGGCCGTGCTAACAGGCAAGGATTACCCTTAATTCATGTCAGCAGCTTAGCATCTAGACCCTTAATCTTTCCAGCTTTATTCTCCTTTAGACCACAGATGTTTTTATTTTGAGCCACTGAATAAACAAGCACCTAAGACTCTGAATGCAATACTGCTTCCACCCTGCTTTTAAGGGACGTACAGTATACACAGGAAAGCACGTAAACAAAATTTCTGAATCAGTAGGCAAAGATGCAAAATGAACTGGGTGCTGGTTAACCGCCGTGGGCCGGTTAGGGGCGTATGCTTCCGTGGGCCTCCACTTCACAGGAATAAGGAAGACAGAAGCTTAGTCTCAGTGGGATAACTACACTTTGAAAAAAAAAAAAATTACAGGTGAAAATCTGGCCTTCCTGTGAATTCCACATGAATTCTACAATGTGATAGGTGCTCACATTTTGTAAAATTAATTTTGAATCTTTAATTTTTAATTTTGAACGCTGACCAATGCAGTCCCACAACTTAAATCGTACAGCCTCGCCTGCCTTTCTACATCAGTCCCATCTTAAAGGCTGTAACATATCAAAAAAAAAAAAAAAAATTCAAGAGGAAGTGCTAAGCAAATACAGGAACCAAAAAAGGTTATCGAGGCTGCTTTACGCTGTCTCATTCAGTTCCTTCTGGCAGTCGCTTCACTGCGTTTTGAAGCAGTTCTTCACAACGTGTGGGACCAGAGCATCTTAGGTGCCGAGCGATGGAAGAGTTGGGTGAGTGAGGAGCTTTTTGAAGAAACAGAATGAAGACATGGCAACCGTCTCCATGTGTGGTGGGATGTACTGAGACTCAGACTGAGGGTAGTGCTGGAAGATTTTATTTTTACTTCTATCCTCAGCCCAGCCTTGAGTGAGGCATGAGGAACTATGACTGTTTGAAGGAACTGTGAGTTCACTATTTGCAGTGGGCAGAGAGCGTGGTGCTAACCATAGTATAAATTCTCCAACAGTTGCTTTTGAGTTGATCATGACTGAAATCGTTTCATTATGATCATTGGTATTTGCCCCCTTGTGGACTGCTGGAGATCATAGGATAACTACACACCTAGCCAGCTATGATTTGGGGAGAACTGTAAGAAAGAAAGGGGAAGAGAAAGGGTGTTAAGAGGAAGAGAAGTGGGATAGAAGTGCAAAAATAAAGGCTCTGCAGAGGTTGGAGGAAGGCCAGGGTGGTTTCATTTGTTCTATGGCCTGGGATTAAATCAAAGAGATCTAATACTAAACTTCAGTGATTATTTGCTGAACTTTTTATTCCAAATCCTGAAGGAGCAGGTTCCCATGGCCTGAAAATAAAACACCTCCTTCCATTTCGAGGAAATTTTGAAATGAATAGTGGGACGACTGGCCACATGACTCCAAACTTTGGAGTAGAGGTCACTCTTAGCGCTCATTCTGTAGATGTTGCCAATGTTTCTGTTGCTGGTATCCTAATCTTGAGTGACTTTTACCCAGTTTTCTAGCTGTGTTAATTCCTCAGTGTTCCAGGTTTGTGTATATTCTTAGATAAGTCAAGAATGCAAACAACAAAAATCACAAAAGCTATCTGCACTTTCTCGTTTTGATTTGAGAGCTGGAAAAATGGGAAAGAATAAGGCAAATCAGGAGGAAAGTGCAGTTGGTAATCAAGAGAAAGAGTTGGCGATTAATAAACACTGACCTATTTTGGAAGTAAAATCTACTTTTATAGTAGGGTAAATTCTATTTTGAACTTAGGGTGGAATCTGAATTCTTATCCTTAATGAGTTGCGGGAATTTGCATCTGAGTTTCACCAGAGTCTAACTCTTCTTTTTCATTTTAGGAATACTAAATTCCATGTGGATAATTAAAACTGATACTTATTCAATGATATAGTCTATAACTAGATAGTTTTTACATATGTTAATCATTTTACTATTTACAGCAATCCTCTAGGTATTATCCACTTTTTAACACGAAACAGCAACAAATGCAAAAATCATGTGTCCAGTGTTACTCTCAGGAGTAGCTCACATGAAACACAATTACACTACAAGATGTACTCTTTTATTAGAAGTATCTTGGTTCAGATGCTGTGGCCAATGGAATAACGCAGCTTTAAAAAGTTGAGTATTTTTACATTTTCTGAGCAGAGTGCATGTCGCAGAAATCGTGTCCAGAAATGCAGAAAGCACCCTGGAAGCTAACATTTGTGTAGATTATCCAGTTGGCTACATCTCCACAAGCTGTTAATGGCTACACTTTCCCTCTTCAAATTATTAGCCCAGTGACTATTGTTAGGTCTAGGAAGGATTTCTCATCTTCCTACAAAACAGAGTATGGCGGAGAGGTTGGCTTGGGTGAACAAGCTTTTCCTCTCCACAGAATTGCCTTGGAGGTTAATAGATTGAATCTACTCAAAAGGTTTTATCTGAATGTGCCCTACTGAGGATGAGAGATAAGAAACACCAGGAACAGGCTCCTGCTCTGCATGAAATCATTACAACCCATCAGCAGAGACCCCAAGAGAGCTCACTATGCTTCTTTCTTCTGAAGGGAGATTTGATTTTCATAGGCGCAGAATTAGAGGGGATACTAGTTTTCAGGGGAGTGCTACCCCTCTCCAGTAACCTCATCTGTCACACTGGGATTAGTCATCTTCAAATTATAGAATCTGGCAAAAGACGTAACCTCAGAGTGCTGATGATACAGTTCACTGAAACAGGAAGAGAAGGACTGGAGAACGCATGACCGGAGAAAGGAGAGTTTTTGGTGATGATGATTCCAAGGGTAACTTCCTATCTTCGTGGCATGATCTCCCCCTGCCACAATTTTTATTTAAATTGCTTTTTATTAGTCCAGGACGATGTGTGACTTCTAGTTGGAAAGAAACCTAGAAAATAGAGAAAGAATCTCTATTTTAAAGGGATACAGAGTAAAAATTTAAATTTTTTTTTTTTTTTGGTTTTTCTCCGGTACCAGGAACTGAACTCACGAACTTGCACTTGCCAGGCAGGTGCTGTGCCGCTGAGCTAAATCCCCAGCCCCTAGAATTCTGAATTTTAGAACTGAGTGTGGCTAATAACATTCTGGGACAAAAGTTTTACTTTCTTTTTCTTTTCCTCCTTAAAAAAACTTTATACAGTTTTAAAACGTAAAATATTAGAAAAAACATTTCAATGAAATCTGATACACTCCTCATTACTTTCAACCGATCAACTTTTGACTAATTTTATTTTATATATTTCTTTCATCCTTATACTGTTATAAAACAATTTCAGATAGTACATTATTTAATATGTAAATATTTTAGTATTAAACTATAACATGAATATATATTTATACAAATAATCATAATACCAGCATCGTACCCACAACAATCTTAGTAGAAATTCCTCAATATCATGAAATACCATTACCACACCTAAAAACTAACAAAATTACAGAATTTTCAAATATCATTATCACACCTAAAATAAATTAATTTTACTTAATATTATTGACTAGTCAATGTTCAATATTCTTGATCGTTTTGGTTTTTTAAAGTGTAACAATCTAAATAAGCCTCATACATTGAAATTAGTATTTCCATTAGTATTAGTCTTTTAAGTGTTTTAATCTATAGGCACTCTTTCTGTCTTTTACTCATTATAGTTTATTCAAGGGTAATTGGACTTGAACAATTTAGCTCAGATTGCTTAACTATAAAAGGTGCATAAAAATACTTTTGTGGTATAGATGAGGGAGAAAGTTCTACAGAAGATTTGATTTGTAAATATGACTAGATCTCATGCCATTAAGAAATATCCATCCCAGAGCTGGGGATTTAGCTCAGCGGCACAGTGCCTGCCTGGCAAGCGCAAGGTTGTGAGTTCAATTCCCGGTACCAGGAAAAAAAAAAAAAACAAGAAATATCTACCCTCCCAAAAGCTGAAATAAATGAAGTTCATTTTCCTTATCTGAGATTTCAGAGTGAAGCAGGTCCTTATACGTAATATAATCCAGTGTTTTGTAAACTTTTAAAAATCTGGAACCTGAGGTAAAAATCCAGTAAATATCTACTTCTGGGTCTTGATTCACAGTTGAAAATACTGTTCTAAATCAGAGAGTAGTCGTGCTCAAGGTGACCCGGAGAATTCATGTGAGAGTGGGGACTGCCGCTTCTAACTTTCAGTTGTTCTGGGCTTGGGATCAGATAGTCCAGATTTAAGTCCCAGTTCTGTTCTCAGGAGCCTATGCACATTTTTTTTTTTTTTTTTGGTCTCTTTCTTAATCTATAAATTCAGAGCAATAGTATCATTTGCCTGAAAATGTTAAGATAATTCAGTGAAATGTGTAAACTCCTCAGCATTGTGGTGGTATTATTAATTTTTAGTATTAATTTTATTACAACAGAAAAGTGCTCATATAATATTTGTAAAGTCCATGGACTTTTCCAAAGAAAACTATGAGAGAAAGAAGTACCAACTGTTTGGATCGTAACATTTTACTTTGTTTTGCAATATTTCTGTTCTCTAACTCCTTCTTCCCTCTCTACCCCCAAAGACTATTTACACATTGTTTTGAGAATTTTGTTATGTGCTTGGGATAATTCTTGAGATTTAGGACAAAGATATCAGGGTTAAGAACGTGTTATTTCTCTGGTGTAGTTTGAAAAAATGGTAATAAAACTGCTTCTATTTTTCTGATAGGAACTATATTTAGGATTTACTTTTTTTTGTAATTGGAGAGCTCTAATTGGAGATCTTTGAGTGAGCTGCAGGAAATGAGGGATGAAAATTAATAGCTGCAACATAGAAGTTAAAGTATAGAGTAAATATGTAACACTGAATACAACCGCAGGAAAAAAAGAAACAAAGAGCCATTAAACGCCTCTTAGTAGCACTGACCATATTCTCAAAGCAAAATAAGAAGGGGAAAAAAGTAGAGGAAGGGATTGAAAACAGTTTTAATCCAAGAGGAGCTGAATGGGGGCGCAGTGGGGATGATCAAGGCGAAAATGACTGAGGGGACTTACATTCTCTTGCTTCTTATAATACAGATGCGCTATTGGAGGAACTGGAACGCTCCACCCTCCAGGACAGTGATGAATATTCTAATCCAGCTTCTCCTCCCCTTCATCAGCATTCCAAAATGGATAGCAACCTTGGCAAGACTCCAAAGGTCCCGCTCCTTCAGAGTGACACAGGTCCCTCAACGGTAATTTTTTATTTATTGTAGTACATTCAGTAGAGATGTTTGCGCACATTTCTGTAAACTAAATAGTATCACACATAAAATGGTATGAAAAGAGAATCATATACCCGAGAGAGAGAGAAAAAATAACCTTTCAGTGTTAATTTAGAGTTGGTTCTTGAAAAGAAGAGGTGAATTGAAGAAATCATCATAGGAAAATAAGCCTCTGAGAATCACTTCTTTTTTCCTGATGAGGGTGGGGTAGCAGGCAGAGTACCGAGTGGTTCACTTGGTATATTCCGATAGGACTACCTGGGGGTCAGAGATGCCATGTTGCAGCTTGACTAGACTCAGCAAGCCCAGAGGTCACCAGGGAAGGACTAGCAGCAGGTTGGAAGAGTCTTCTTGGTTGATTTTTCAGGATCACCTCTTTCTAGAGCTTATTTTCTGCGGACTAGATGAAGAAATTCCATGGTTAGTACACTCAGGGATGACAAAGCTCTGAGGAATGGATTCAAACTAAATCAGAAGAGATGATGTATTTTAAAAAAAAAACAACCCCCAAATCCAAAGAATCAATTGATGGTTAAATTAAATGTGTGTGTTCTCTTCCTGTGGCTAAGTGGACAGCACCCGCCTTCATAACGACAAGGCTGCTTGTTATAGTGGAATTCGTGTGAGAGGCACCCAGGAGGCGCTCTTCACCTGTGGTGTTTTTGAACTCCATCCGATATTCTTATTTATCCTGGTTTACTGTATGGAGCAGCTACTAGCATAGACATGGAATCTGCGCTCTCGAGCAGGTTCCCTCTGTAACTGTTTTTTCCTGGACACCGCCCAGTTGTCTATGTACTAGCTGCTGTCTTTGCTCTATTAGATTACAGCCCCCGGCTCCTGACTGTTCTTTCCCCTGTCCCGCTGCAGCCTGTTCTCAGAGAGATCCACCACGATTCTCTAAAACCTAAGCCAGGCCGTGCCATTCTTCTACTAAAATCCTCACAATGCCTTCTTGTCTCTTGACTTTTGTGCATGACCATATGTTCTGGTTTATACTGCGAGGAATTTTCTGACACCCTCAGACTTCCTTCTACTACAAATCTACCATCTTTTTAAAAAGTTTTCTTAGTAGCATTTGCATCCACGTAAGCCAACATGGCCCAACGTACATTTGGTTCTTCCAGCTTCCTTCACGGTCTTCTCTAGCAGCGGATAAAAACAGTATGTGGTGAACAGCGTTTTTCTCTTATGATCGCTAACTGGAAAATGTGACTCACGACCATTTGTCTCTTTTCCTGATCTTGTTCAGGCAAAACCTAACCAGCGATACCCTTCCACAGATATCGTACAGAATGTTGGCTCCCAGCGCTTAGAGCCTCCTCCTATGGTCTTAGGCGGGACGGAAATGTGTGTGAGCTTCTGCTGCTGCTGGCCTCCTGGGTGCCCCACCCATGGCCTCCCATGACTCATGTGGTGCTGTGATGACCGGGGCCCTCCCTAGGGTCAGTCAGAAATACTGGAAAATGCGGCTTAATGTCATACAAATGACGCTTAGGAAATAGAGGCTCAACACTCCTGTCAGGACTGTAGTATCATCTGAACATTCCTGTTGAAGCAGTTTATTATTATTTGTGTGTGTAAAATTCTAAGTATCTGTTTTATTTTGTAATACTTCAGCCCGTACAATAAACTCCTTCAGGGGCTGTCTAAAACCAAAACCAAAACTTCACGGTTTACTTTCTCAAAGAGGCTGATGATAAATGTGTAACTCGTACAAAACATTCGTCAGTGTTTGCCACCCGCCACCGAAGCATGCAGAGATAGCCACGCCTCTGAAAACCAGACCGCACAAATGGGAAGCCGAAGAACTGGCGCTGACTCCACAAGTTAATGTTTCACTTTAAAAGAATGTGCTCGAGGAGGGTAGTTCCTCGCCCACAGCCGCTCCAGTGCGTTTCCCCCTCACTGTGCAGGGCTGCTTTCCCCGTTTATCGGCAACCGCCACTGCCGCTCTTCTAAATCCACTGCTTGTTTTCACGTCCAGGTTTCCATGGGCTCAGAAATACAGTGAATTGGTGATGATCGAGCTGATTCCCTTGGCAAGCCATCAAAGAATGGCAGTTTTATTTCCACAGCATCAGAGGTCTCAATTAGAAAATTCATTTCTAAAATAGTTCAAGCAAGGCTGGGCCTGGTAGCACATGCCTGTAATCCCAGCACCCGGGAGGCTGAGGCAAGAGGATCTTTGTGAGTTCGAAACCAGCCTGGGCTACAAAATGAGCTCAAGGCCAGCCTGAACGGCATAGCGAGACCCTATCTCAAAAAAAACAAAATAAATAAATAAATAAAATAGTTCAAGTTTTTTTTTAACTAATTCGAAGAATTCAATTATTTGTAAGTTCATTCTCCAGACCACAGATAAATAAATAAATAAGCTGATGTTGCCGGTGTCATTATAAACTTAGCTAAAAAGTGCAGCACTAAGGACAACTTTGCGTGTGTGTGGTGAGAGCACGAATACAAGTGCTGGTGAAGTGTGCAGTGCTTTTACCAGCTCAGAACCCTATAGAGCAGAAACGAATTGATTATGATGTGTACAAGACCCTCGGCTGCCTCTAAGCAAGTTGCAGTAATCTACAATCAGAATGGAAACGGAAATGTCGGAATTTATGTGTTACCAAATATGTACACAGAGGCTAATAAGTGACTGATACATAGACTTTTTGGGGACAGAAGCTAATATCTAGTAGAAAGCATGTCAGCATGATTGTATATATTTTCTCTTTGTGTAGCTGTCATTCTTGGATTTTTGAAACGCCTGAGCCTTTGCAAAACACCTCTGTAAAGCAACCCAAATTTAAGTTGTAATTATGTGCAAAATCAGCTGGAAATCTTCAATTAAATTAGTCAGTGATTATTGCATGAAAATACAGCTTTTGAAACTTTTAACAAGTTATAATTATGTGAAGTAAAACTTCTGAAAAGGAAGCAGCTCAAATTTTTCCCTACAAAGGCCAAGAGGGACAGAACAAATCAAATACCTCAGTTGAAAACTGTGCTTTGGTCACATCTTGACTCTGATGAATTTTGATCCCTCTTTTTAATTAGATTAATTTACAGAGGCTCCACCAGAATGAAATGAAATAGTGAAAGTCTATGATTTTTCAAAATCTGTATCTGGTGAAATGAAAAAAAATTGCAAATAGAGACGACTTGAAAGTTTTGGCTTATGGGAATGTGATTGAACAAAAGAGCTGTGAACAGAAGCAGACAGTGTGTGAAAATGTTTCCCTAAAATATTTACACAATTTAATATGAGAAAATGAATTTAGGAGCCTTTCCATTTAGTAGAATTTGCTTTGAACTCACAGACTCTTATCAGAGAGGGGATATTTTTCTCAACTAAAAACCTATGGGCTTTAGAGAAGCATAAATTAAAACTATTTACAAATTTGGATATAATAACCGTAGACTGGCTGGGAATATAGCTCAGTGGCATAAGCACCTGCCTGGCAAGCGCAAAGTCGTGAGTTTGATCCCCAGTACCACAAAAAAA